TGTGTGTGTGTGTGTGTGAGAGAGAGAGAGAGAGAGAGAGTGAGAGAGAGTGTGTGTTTTGCATTGCTAATGGTGTCAGGTGCCTCTGTTCTTCTGGTCACTGATTGTTTTCTTGTAATATTTTGTTACATTATTATGTGTACGATTAAGAAGCCTTTTTCTTTTCTTGAAGATTCGCAAGTCCGCTTTCTCCCACGTTTGTAGCGCCGGAGAAAACGGTCAGTGTGTCATGAAAAACAACACATGTTGTTTCCTTATTCAACTATGAAATCTACAACTAGAGCAAAAACCTCCACGAAAACAACAATATCATCACCATCATCATCAGGTGCCCAAGCAGAAGCTCCAACAATTCATGACACCTTATTTATACTGTATTACACTATTTTTGTTTCAGGTGATTTTCCGTGTGCTCCCGCCCTTCATTCCGATCCCAGATCCTTACAGCGAGGCGGTGCAGGATCTCCTCAAACTCACCAACTTACGTATCAACTTCACGGAGCTCCATACACTCGGTGAGTCTCCCTGTACTTTTAAATGAGGTCAAGGTTTGTCTGGGATGGTTGAAGGGCGCCACTGACAGGTCATACTTCTTTTCTTTCACTCTGTTGATTCTGATTTTCTGTCTTGTTTCTTCCCTGCACAATATTATGAGTAGTATTTATTGTGCCGATGTGCTGTTTTTTACTTGAATAAACAAGGGTTTGTCTGAATTAGTGGGTCACCATTATCGAAGTTTGATGGGATCGAGCAGTAAATCGGATGGGCGGTTGGATGCTTTAGTCGGCTACACGTTAGCAAAAAATAAACTTTGACCTCCAATGCAGTCAAAAAGTGTCTTGGTTAGACTGATACTACCAGCTTCTGTGGTGCGGTGGGTAGTCGCCATGGCGTAGCAAGTAGAAATCTGAGTTCCATTCCCGTGTGGAACTCAGAGGCGGAGATGTTTTTTTCTCGGAATTTTAGACACATCTTTTAAAGGGTAATAAAGATTCAATTAATGCTCCTGGTGCATTGACGAGGTGTCGGCAAAATTAATGAGCCACAGCACAACATGTACCTCTTGCGGCGGTAGGATCGGTTACACCGACCTGACTCTCTGGAGCGTCCCCTGCTAGGGATTTTACACGGTTCAGGGACAAAAATTACTCGAACTGCCTCACCCCAACAATTGATGACACATCAGTTTTACTATACTGTGTACAGAATAAAGTAATAAATAACCAGCAAGAGCGAAACTAACTGGTTGTTCCACAATGTGTGGATTCAGTCACTCAGCTTTTTTTATCTAGATCTAGATTAGGATTTTAAAAAAATAAAATTTTGGTAAGTGTTTTACGGCGCTCGCAACTGCATAAGGTCATATGAGCGCGCGGGACACACCTACTATTTTCAGTTGGTTGGAAATTTTTAATTTTGCCCGGGTGGCGGCTGAAGCATACTCTTATCGATTTTAGACCACCAAGGGATCTTTAACGTGCGCAACTTGCACACGGGCCCTCCGAGATTTTTCGCCCTTGTCCGAGAAGGCTAGGTGTAGATCTTTCCTACCAGAAGATCAGGGCTGTCGCAGAAAGGCAGCAGTAAGGAGGAGCCAAGGAGTAGCAGTAGAAAGGCTGCAGAAAGAGCCAGGAGCCCAGAGGAGGGGACAAAGAAGGTGAGGGGGTGGGGGCAGAAAGCAGACGACAGAGCATTGCTGGAGAGCAGGAAAGGAGGTGAAAGGAGACAATTTTAGAGAAGAAAATTATTCGGTCGCTACCCGGATTCGAACCCGGGACCTTTGAATGAGAGGCCAACACCTTAACCTCTAGGCCACGAGAGCCCCCAGCATAGGATTACTTACTACAGTCGCCCCAAAGTTATATATACTCCCGTCATATTGTCAAACGATTCATGCAGATGACAGTTATGACTCCTGCCTAGTTCTTAAAGGAAAATATTTGTTGAGAGAAGAGTTTGAGAAAGGAAATGTCAAGATATATATAAATATTTTTCATCCAACATCACTATTTATCTTGCAAAATATAAGGTGAATAGAATTGGAGTTCTTCTTACACGTTTGAATATATTAACAGCATAGTGCAGGTCGGTATTTGCCTGCAGATAACAGTGACTGGTCTATAAGTTCAAAGGATAATTTCATTCTTGGTTTTTTTTTCTGTCTCTATTTCCTCATCGTGTCTCTTTTCTGTTGTTTGTTGCGTAGTTCAGGGGTTTGCCTGAAAATAAGTTTTTGTTGTATAAGTCATTTTTTTTTAAACATTTTCTCTCGGGAGTGCAGGTGTAATAGACTGTCCTGTTTTGTGTGGGAGTTTCCTTTGTTATGATAATGTATTGTTGTTCCCTTCTGTGCCTGTCAATTCTGTTAACGCCATTAGCTACATATTGTGAATCTTCACAGCATTGAGCACTGCACAGTCTCGAGGTGCGGTCGTATATTCTCCCTATATATTTATTGGTAGAGAAAACGAATAATGGATAGGGAAAGGTAGCCACAGACAGACAGGCAGACAGACAGGCAGACAGACAGACAGACAGACTGAAAGACTCGGGAATAGGGAGAGATATTCAGCGCGTGGTTGGCGGGTGCTCTGGTGTGATTTGCTCCTTCTTTGCTCTCAAATATCCATCGTCCTTATCTCTCCTCCCCCTTTTTAGATTTATTTCTCTCTTGTAACTCCTCTCATCTTCTGCACTTCTATGACTTGTGTTGCAAGTACGGTAAAAACCATTTTTAAAACATAATACAAATTCACATGGTTCTTTGCGCCATTCACTCAGACGTTTTAGTGCACGGATGGTTGGGCTTTGGGGAATGGTCGAAATGAGGTTGAACCAGTCCCCAGTATTTTTTTTTTCTTTCTCTTCCCAGTGTGTACGCTTTAGTGTTGAACCGCATAATATTTTGGTGGGCGACGGTTCGTTTAGTGCAGTGTAGTGTAGCTTGGGTGTGGGAGACTGGAGTGTCTTGTTGGTCCTACTATCCTTTTTGTGTGAGTTTGTCTGACTGAAGAAATTTTAGAACATGCAAGCGTTGCAGAAATGACAATAAGAGTCTTTGTATTGTGTAAGAGACGATAAGGATATAGTGGTAGGTCATATTTTGTTTTATTACGTTGTATATATATATATATGTATATGAAATATAGGTGTTTTACTCCACCATCGGCACAATTTAGACCGAGTCATATTTTTTTTTACAGATGTAGCGTGAACGCAAGTTTTCTTGCTATTGGGATATTTTGTGAGAACAAAGGAACCGGGAGGAGGAGAGAAAACATACATACTAGCAGTAAAGATGGGTATTGGGATAGCTAGTTGTGGTTGTTTTTTTTTGGGTTTTTTTTTTGGGGGGGGGGGGGGTATTTGTATATCGCCAGTGCCAGTACCTCTGAACAAGTCTTTGTTTTGTTCTTTTTTGAAAAATTGTCTCGTTATCGCCCCCCCCCCCAAAAAAAAAAAAAAAAAAGAATAAAAGAAAAACAAATCCTCCTCGGCTTTCATTGTGTCAAAGAGTCAGTCATCGTTATTTACTGTTTTGATTTGTGCACGTCATCATTATCCTCAAACTATATTACCGAGGGAGAGCATGTGTCTCTGGGGCAACGCTCTCGCCAGCGAGCATGGAACTCCTGGATTCGAGTCACGTAACACCAATAAGCCCCAACTTGCCTGTGAAATATGTGGATGATGTAAATTTTTCGAAATTGATAATAATACTCCACTCATGTTCATTCATTTCCTGGCTCTTTGTGACATCCATTGTGTGAATGCTACAACTCTGATCTTCTCAGCTCTGCTTCTTGTTATGGTGGTATGGGTGCTCTCTTGGGCACAGTTTTTATTTTGTTTTTCACCTTGACTGTGCGCCTATGTGTCATCTTTGCATATGGCATGGCTCAGAATACCCGGATATCCTCTTAATCCATCAGGCAAGGAGTACATTGTATTTACTCAACAAAGACGACTTACGTTTTTGTGGCACGGCAGACATCTGAAAAAAAAAACTGACTTAAGGAAGAGATTGTTGCACATTCGTACCAACTATTTATTTTTCCAGAAGGGAGGAGGAAATGTCATGTCGGGTAGGACGGCGGGGTGTGCTTCTGGGAAAGAGTGCAGTTTGAGTTTCCAAATGGGCCTTTATGTACGTTATTTTTTTCTTCTTAGATTTTTTTTATGGGTCTTCCACCAAGTTGACTTGGTTCTCTCGAAAACAGAAATTTAATACTAGATAGCCTTTCTTTGTTGACTAAAAACCCATGGTTAACCATAGCAGACCCTGAGTCTAATTTTTCGCTTGACAATTAAAATGGCAGTTGCAGCTTTCAAGACAGACGAATTTCAGTAGACCAATAATTTCAGTAAAGGTCGAAATTGTCGAATTATGAATAAGACTGTATTCAGTTTCTTTCATAGATTCAGTCTTAGTAGTATCAGTCTGAAACAAATATAGAATTGGAAAACCATTACAGTATCGACTTAGAGAAGAAATACTACAAACATGTGGGGCATAATCTTCTCATAAGATAATTACAACGATGCAGTCTATAACATTTTCATAACAATACTCTGAAACGTCTGTGAGATTAATACGTGCATGCGTCCGTGTCGACCTTCGATTGGCGACATAGTTGTGTTTCCCCCATTTTCTTTGTTACAGTACATATTAACTGTTTCTCTTTTTATTCGCTTTTTAAAGGGACAACAGATAATAATTAAAAGGCTTTCTTCTTCATTTGGCGCGTTTCAAATCTGCATTTTATTTAGCATAATATTATGGCCGTCACTGTTCGCTCGGAATGTCATGTGCAGGATTTCTTTCATGCGTATCGACGTGTGTCATACACTTTTGGTACAGCATCCTCGTGTCAGTGTGTAGTGCCACAGATATGTTAAAGGGACTGGAATAGGCAGTTGTGGTCTGTGTTTGGAAAAGGAAGTACATAATATATTTTTGTATGAAAGACAACAATATGTGAGGGGCACAAATGAACTTCTGCAAATTGTTTACGAAGTTTTTTCAGAAACGCTATGCTGTGTTTACTCGGCATGGAGAGATATTTCAGTCTGTACCACCGTCAACCTGCATCGAGAAGGAAGGCGTGTCTAAAAGCATCAGATCCGATTGGTGTTCGGTTTGCCGTTTTCTTCTTCTTCTTTTCACGAACGTGTATTTATTGTCGTTCTGGCAACACGCTCTTGTTTATTTCACCACAACTGTACCTATTTGATGTTGCTTATGTAGGTGGCATACTTCCCGTCTCTCTCTCTCTCTCTCTCTCTCTCTCTCTCTCTCTCTCTCTCTCTCTCTCTCTCTCTCTCTCTCGCTCTCTCTCTCTTATCCATTGGTCAGTTGTTTTTCGTTTTTCTCCCATTTCTCTCAATCCCTCAGCGTATCGTATCAGAATATCCACTCATCCTTGATTTTTCGGATTTTTTGGTTTGTTTTTGTTTTGTTTTTGTTTTATGTGTCCCCACCCCCACCCACCCCCGACAAGTCACTATCTCCCTC